CCCCAAAACCCCAAAACCCCAAAACCCCAAAACCCCGAGACAACAATTGTGATTGAATTAAAGAATTTTAAGGAATAAAATGAGCATTCGTGCAACTTGAACAGTACAGAACTGCCGAAACAAAGCTAAGCATTACTTAGCAGAAACACATCAATATATATGTGACGATCATACGCCTAAAGAGTTTATTGATAATGGGAACAACCGCATAACTGGGTCAAAAGAAGCTCAATTTAAGTGTCAAGAAGCAATAAATTTTCTGTTGAATGTCAAGAGATGTTGAAAGGACGAACTAGCAGGTTTTGAAGAGGAATTAGAAACTGGTTTAAACTCTTTAAAATTTTTCTATTTAAGCATCTATACGGCGATAAGAAGCAGCCAGCATTTTAGCTACCAGCCAATCTGGGACAAAGCAAATCAAGTTTTAGAGAAATTTAAAGTCTTTTGCAATCTAGATTTAACAGAAAATTTTATGCAAACTGATGATTGAGCAAACTCAGATTATTTTGAGTTTATGTCAAACGTCAAAAGCATTTATAATTATGAACTAATTAGAGATTGGCAGGGTTTAGATCTTCCCGGCTTATCTTCTAAAAAGCCAGCTGCTCTTCGAGGTCCCAAAAATTATATTAGAGTTTCAGAACACATAATAAAGAATGGAAATTCAGAGTGTAAGATACTTAATTTTTGATAAGTCTTTTCTTAGTGAAGACTACTTTAAGTATCACTCATTTAAGACTATCCTTGTTTATTTCCTCTAATGTCAAAATTAGGTGAGGACAAGAGTTTGCATGAAGAAAGTAAAACTTTAGAAGCCCAGAATTGCCAGTTTTCTACGACAAGTCTATCTTCAATAGCTTCCGAAGGCTCTGAACCCGGGCTTAGTGAAGATGGTGATATCAGCTATCTTATAAACAATCATCCAAGAGGTGCTCGACACATGGAAGAAGATAAATCTAGTGATTGCATCTATATGAGAGTGAACTAAACAAGGCCAGAAAATCCCAGAATCCCTGGTGAAGAGCCCTAAACAAAGAAAGCCGGGAAGACAGAGTCGAGTCAAGAACTTATTGACAAATTATTCTGACAAAAAGAGAGATTTAAAATCAGATAAGAAGGATTCCAAAGTCGGTAAGACATTTCAGATCAGCTGTTTATAATAAAAGCTAAATATTCTGAACTTCGCTTGAGTCAGATCTTAAGCTAGATTGTATTGATAATGCTAATTTATGAGTAGCATTGCTCACTTCATTTTTAAACAGAGTTGATCCTTCTCTTCCATAATTTTTCCTTTCTACTTAAATTCTTTCTAAAGTATTCTATCATCAAAAATGTGTATAGGATCAGACTTCAATCTATCTATGCTAATTTATGAGGATTATTTTTACTCTCAAGAAGACTCTAGGGATCAAAGCAGCCTTACAAGCTCAATATGCCCTGATAGTTTTTCTGTTATCCAACTTAATGAACAAAATTTATCAAGCAAAGAAACTCACGAGGAAACTCTCAGTCCAAATTCCAGAACCTCCTCAAATCAAGGCAATTCTGGTTTCACTGACTTAAACTCACCATCTACGCTGGTGAGAGTAAACTCAGGTAAATTGCCATTTCGTTTTCTTTTAAATTTTCTTTGATTAATTTCTAAATTAAGGTAAGTATTAAGTATTGTTTTAATGAATTTTCCTCAAAATGGTTCAAATATGGCTAAAGTTAGGAGTTCATTGGTTATAAGTAGTCCAGAATCATTAAATTTTAATAGGCGAAATGATACTCTCATCGATATTTGGCAGAGATCATTCCAACGAGCATAACTCCACTCAAAGTCCGGTTCTTTTACATCACCCGAATAGTAGGATTGTTATAATCTTTTAAAGATACCAACCTCAATCTTAACCAAAGTGAGGAATGTAAAATACACTGTTATCTTAATATATCCCAACAATAAGTCCAGCCATTAAGCCTATTCCACATAGAGGCCTCTTCGCCCCTCTAGTCAACCCCAAAATGGACTATCAGACCCAAAAGGGTGCTTTAATCCGCCTAAATTCACAATTTCAAATTTAAATTCTCTAAAAGGGGTTTTGGGGTTTTGGGGTTTTGGGGTTTTGGGGTTTTGGGGTTTTGGGG